TTTCCTCTAAGCTCCTCGGTTGTGTTTTCCGCGAAATTATTCCTAAAAATGCACCTGAACCGCATACAAGAGTTCCATTCTCCTGGACACTGGGACAATTTTCCTCGTGATTCTACTATTTTTTCCTGACTTAACTGACAATTCAGTAGACGAGTTATCTGCCCTCCCCCTCCCAGTTGTTCGTCATACTGCAGAAAAAAGCGAGACGCCAGTCCGAATGACGAGTTTCTACATTCAAATTAAACGGAGATATGGTCTCTGGCGATGACGTCAAACACGGCATGCGTTAGAGCCTACAGCGGTTTTTTCACAATGGTTTGATTGATCTTACCAGGGTCAGACCAAATTAATGAGATTTTATTTATAGAGCTCAATTTTTTTCAAAATTGTAAGTCGGTAAATAACGTAATAATTTACTTTTTTGGGACCTCCAAGTACTTCAGAGTCGTAATTATTAATCAATTACATCGCTTTTTTCACCATAGCCATTACCACCGTAAGTGCCGGTCAATGTGATGACGGTTACAATTATTACGGTATAATTATTTACAATCTGCGTCTACTCATGAGTAGACTAGATTCCGGTGGAAGAAGGTGAAATTCGGTATTTGAGGATATAGTTGCATAACATTCTTTCATTAGGGTGATTTGCTAAACGCTATATTTTGCGTCAGAGGACATGCGATATATCGCTTTGATTGGATCCATTTTTTCAGTCACTCGTCGTTTTTCTTGAATTTCGAGATCAGAATTCTATTGTCAGGATAATAAAGAATTCACTGACTAATTTTGACAGACAAATTCAACGTAATAAAGGCGTGGTTTTTTGAGGGGAAAAATATCGCACTCGAGTGCAATTTCGATATCAGTGTCGAGTGCGATATTTTTTCTCTAAAAAACTACGCCTTTATTAAGTTGAATTTGCAATTCAAAATTGGTACGTGGATTCTTTGGTCTTTCTGACGATAAAAATGGAGCCAATCGATGCAATATATCGCATGTCGCGTCGCTCTGACATAAAATATGGCGTCCATCGAATCACCTCGAATAGTTACGATGATCATTTCAAACGCCAGATTTGAACCCGGTAAACGTAATGACGGCCTAAAGTTTCCCAAAACTCAATAAGCTCAAACAAAAATTTATTTTTGATTGAGGGAAAGATAGATTGTCTCATCTCGTATACTAAAACAAAAAATAATGAGTGCTGTGATGCTGCTGCTGTCCAGCCGCCGAAATTTGCTCGAAAATGGGAGTTAATCGGAAATGACACGCAACTCGACCACAAGCACAACATATACATCACTTCTTGCACAACGGAAAGAGCAAATGTTTGCTTTTAGCATAAGATATACTAATTTTAGAGTATGTTGAAACCGTATTCCATTTCAATAGCCCATCAGTTTGAAAATATATCCATAAATTAACTGTTGAACTTGAGAACCTCGTCTGACCACAGGTTACGGTACTGGTAAATTCAGTATTTTACGGAAAATACTAGTCGGAAAAATAGATAAAATCGGTAAAACTTCGGCTAGGACAAAAATATAAATTTTCCGCGCATACGCTCTTCAATNGGGGGGGGGGGGGGAGGGGTTCAGCCGCAATTCGATTGGAGTTTGCCTACAATTGATTTGATTGACCACATGGACCAAATAATATGTGTGATACTCTGCAGTGCTGAAAAAAACGCTGTATAAACATTCGGACATTACCAAATTTCTCCAGATAAAATACAAATTTCCAGAGAAACTTTTGAATATATTTCGTCCATTTTTTGGAGAGCTTTAATTGCTGTTCGATCTGAAATATCTGATAATTTAAATGTAAAGTATTCATAATTTTTGCCACAAACTGACATTTTGTTCGGGGAAGTTTGGCTACATTCAAATGCTCTTGCGGCGTTCTTTCTCAGCACAGTCTGCCGTGCCAAGGCAGAACGTCGTATGAGCCATCAGACGTCGACGAATTCCCTTCGATTTATACCAAATTTGCAGAGGAAATAGTGAATATTCTCCCCCCCCCCCCCAAAATTTTTAGACAATTTCGTACGCAATTCAATCTAAAATATCTGAAAATTTCAAAGAAAAATGTGCATGAATGTGGTCAAAAATAAATTTTTATCAAGGGAAATTTGGCAACTTTTGAATGTTCATACGGCGTTCTCCCTCAGCATAGCAGCGCGGTAGCACTGTTTGCTGAAGCATTAAAAGTGTAAGAAACCATGGTATTCATTGTCACGGTGGACTTCATCGTGAACCGTATTTTTCGATAAGCAATATCTTCGTTAAGTTTGAACATGTAGACTTGGCGTTCGGACGGATCTTATTATTTTTTGATGATCATAATCGGCAAAACACGCTTCTGCGCATAGCACATTTAACCCATTATGGCGACTTGTGTACCAGTGGCGTGGCGTGAATAGTCGATTATCGATACTTCCCCAGTTGAAGCTACGGTAAAGACTCGATTATTAGTATGGTGCTCGTTGCGAGCACCCTGTATATCGATCATTTTCCATACGTTTAAATGGCAGATCAATCGATATATTGCAAAGCACGCCACGCCACTGTCGTGCACAAGCTGAAGTTTTCAACCTGTTGAGGCAGCTAATTGATGTTCTACAATTCCCAGACTTCTTGAACGGAGGTGCCCAATTGCCCAAGTCGGGTCAAACTGACCCAAGGATCACTGACAACCCGTGCCCCGCAGGTTTTATGGGGCCGGTGCATCCGAACTTGAGATTTAGGTCAACAAATACAACTTGAAAAAAGAATAAGACATCAAATTGAAAAAAATCTTATATCAACACAGCCGAAGATATGAGATACGTTTTTGAGTTTGGTTTTTTAAAACTTGACTCCCGAACCAGAGCGACAGTTCATTGGCAGCCAAGAGCGGAGCATCTCGAGCTCACGCCTCATGTCCTAGCGCCTTCAATTTTGCAGATGCAACACGGACATCCATCAAGCACAAATAGTTGTATCTCTGCGCCGTCATCAAAACTAGTCCTTTCTCTTACTCTATTTCCATGTTGTGATGGCTCCGTTGTGTATTTGTAGTGGTGTTTAAAAGGCTACGTGAGAAACAGTTTAATTTGGATTGCATTTGTTGGCCAAACTAAGCATAGGGTAAAAATGATTGGTTGAAGTGTCTAGCTAACAAGTATAACACTCGAAGAATAAGAAAATGTTATAACTCAGGAATTTTTCGTATTTTTCGAAAAAAGTTCATTTGCAGTTAGCAACCTCGAATTAGCCCCATGTTAATAATGTAAAAGCAACGTGAAACACCCACACTTTAACTTCAAGTATCTCTGATTGTCGCAAAAAGTCGAAAGATCTTTTTGGTAGAATTGAAGTTGAATAACTGAGGATTAAGAAAATGTCAACCACCCAGAGTATTTTACGTTTCAAGAAAGAAATCTTCATTTGAAGTTGGACGTCTTTTCCCTGTGTGTTTTTTATAGACCAGTGATTCTCGACCCATTTCCCGGCCACTTCTATCCAAATTTGGAGTAGTTTTGAGAGAAAAATTTGAAAATGAGCCATCACTGTGAGTCAAAAATGTCTTGAATATGAGAAATTCAAAAAAAAAAAAAAAAAAAAAAAAAAAAATCAAATGTCAAGTTTAATCAATCGATATATCGCAAAGCACGCCATGCCACTGCCAATTTAATTCAATCATTTACACCGAGTGAACATTTTGTGAAAGATTATGCGAAATAAATTATATCAACTGTGTAATAATGATGGACGTCCATTCTAGCAGTGGCCCCATTTAGAAGTTATTTCATTGCAAACACAATTATATAAATCGGAACCTACGAGGTAGAGGAAAAGATCCGTGGATTTCGCATACTACGGAAAAAAATTAATCTAAATTGAAGCGAAGATAATTGGTAATTTGAGTATGAAAAAAGGAACTTTATTTCATAGTATTCTTAATTCCACATCTTAAAAAGTGTTTAGGATTACATAGAAAACACGGGAGGAGAAAAAAAAATAAGAGATATGAGAGAGGGATGACGAAACAACTGAAATACAATAAAATCACCAGAGGAGACTTTAATATTTAAGGTTTCTCAGTCAGGGAAGGCCGATGTTCGAGGATCGAGAGAAGCATAGAGTTAAAATCCAGATTTTTGAACTAATCATGAAAAGGAAAAAGGAGGAAACATCCAATAAATGAACATCTGATATTCCCAAATTAAGGAATGTTCGGAACGAAATTCATTAGCAATAATGGTAAAAATTGGCAGTCAAATGAAATTAAAAAACCGCAATACCTGATTCGTGTATAAGAAATGCCAACCTAAAACGAGGACGCAATTTGGTTTGATGAAAAATAATTTCCGATTAAAGGACAAAATCCCGCCTAAAATGAAGAATAGGACGGGCCGGCGAGGAAGGGGGCGAAAAGGGCAAAATGGGCATTATTTTACAATTTGGAACTATCACTCTGGCTCATATGTAAAATCACTCAACTGCTCAGAGGCACTAATGGAACCAGAGTTATCCGTATAATGAGGCAAACTTAGTAGTTCTTCTTGCAATAATATTTCTTTTTTGGGGCGAGGAGGGGGGGGGGTACAATAACTCTTGATTCAAATTTACAAATTAGAATAAAAAAGTGACAGATTAGCCGTCGAAGGACTGCAAAGTCATGCTAACTAACTGGAAGAAAAGTAAACATAAGTAGTGAAAGAAAGTTGTGGTAGTAGTTTCTATCGTACAATTTTGTCCAAATTGCTCAACCAGTTGGACATATTTATGCTAAAAAGAACTATGTTGCACACAAACCCTTTGCACATAGTTCCTTTTAGCATAAATATGTTCAATTTTATTGGCAACTCGTCTCAATTGAAATGAAAGTATATAAAAGCAACCATGCAGTGGCCCCAAGGCAAAAACTGCGAAATGATCGTCTATTCCTTAATTATCATTAATAGATTAGAAACGTGCTGATTTCTACGTAATCTCAAAAGTCATGGTACTCACCTTCATTAGGCAACACGATCGACACATTTATGATGACGCAGTAGATTCGGAATCTCATCGTGCAGAACAATTTTGCTAATGTTGACCACTATGGTGTGAGGTGCGAAATGAACGTACTTCAACGGCATGAATTCACGGAATATCTGGCGCAAAGTCATGAACGTATGAACATTGCACGTTGGGTTAACCCTCGATGACCGGGCATAGATGCTAGTCATGGAAAATGTACCCGCAACACAAAAAATTGTAAAAAATAGGTCTAAAAATTGCTGCGTCAATCTTGAGCCTATAAAAGTAGTGGATATTTACGGTGCTTTTGCGCAGTGGAATCCTGTCGCTACAGAAATAATGTGCCGTTTGCTGATTGGTTTCGCTGTTTTTCTACTTGTAAAGCTCGATGCAGGCGGCACGGTCCTTATTTTGATATTTTCCGAATTTTCAATTTTTTTTTTTTTTTTGGAGGGGGAGCGAAATATTAATGAGGCACACGTTCAATTGGTGCCTACTGGTGATTGTTGCAAAGAGTATAAAACTTTTTCTGAGAAAAAGTCAATTTTCAGTTCTACCTGAGCCCCTCGGAAGTTGGGCTGTGTTTGGTGGGGGTGAATTTGTGGCGCATTTTAGCGCCAAATGAAATGGAGGCGTCAGCATAAAGAAGGCTATTGAAACCTTGCAGGTGGCAAATCCTCTTTTTGATATTCTCCGAATTGTTTAATGGTTTTTTTGGGGGGGAGGGGGAGGGGCAAACTTTTAACGAGGCACACGTGCATCGTGCAATTGGTGCCTACTGGTGGTTATTGCAAAGATCATAAAACTGTTTTTGAGAAAAACTTAATTTTCAGTTCTACCTGAGCCCCTTGGAAACTAAGCTGTGTTGGGCCGGAGCGAATCTGTGACGCATTTTTGCGGCAAATTAAATCGAGGTCTCAGCAAAGGTAAAGCAGGCTATTGAAACCTTCAAAATTTAACATTTACACACTCTAATGTGTATATTTTCTTGATGTTGGCGCTTTTCTGTAGAATGCTCATAAATTTTCGTTCCGGTACTTTAAAATCGACCAAAAAATCTATGTCCGGTCGGTTTTACTATTATTTTATTATTACGGCCCGTTTAATGAAAAGCGTATTTCCTTTGGAAGAACCTGTGTGATTTACATTGTTATTAATGAGACCACTAACATAGCATCACGCATAAAAGGTGTATGCGTTGCTGTGCATCCTTTGACACTGGGGACTAATACTGAATTATATACTGTTCTAGGCTACTATTAACCCCGCCTCCTTTCTCTTTGGATGCATCTATGATGCAAATAAGAACCTCCCCAAGGTTTTTGGTGTCACATAAGACTGCACTGCTATGACTTTAAAAAATACTGGCCTGCAAATAGAGTGGTGCCTACTTATCAAATCATCATCAGATTTCAGAAGGTGTATTCAGCGCAGTTAGAGAGAAGTAGACTTATCTAATATTATTTACCGAACTACAATCGTTTGTATGTACGATCTAACTTCAAAAATGTGTTTCTCTGGAGAAAATATATTTTCAGAATTTTAAAGTCAGTCACAGCCTCTAATTTTTTCAATTTTATTTTTTGCTTAATGTTTCCACCGTTCGTGCGATTAACGTTGGTATAAAAAATGAAAAATATGACGGTTTACTGCTGTCGTTTTTGCTACTCAACTAATTTTCACCATAAATATTAATATCGCCCTCGTGCGACGTAGAAGGGAAAACAAGCGAGCGATTAGCAAATGCTTCAACTCGAATCTCCCTAATGCCTCATTAGAACATGTCTCTCGGTGAAATCGATTTTGACGTCACTCTTTCTCATTACCACGTCCATTTCGCAAAATATGATTCCAGAGTATTTTTTTCTGTCAAATTAATCTGGTACGCACAAAAAATCTAAGTACTTTTCTCGAGCGTAAAATGGACCGTGTTAGGCGGAAAGGATCCAAGCCACATCAGCTATCGTCAAATTTAACGGGGCAATTTAATTTTTTTACAAGAGAACGTTCGTGCGGATTCCTTTGAAAAAATTTCAGGAATCTGCTTCGCACTATGCATTAAATTCACTAAAATTTGCGCAAAAATCCGCACAACCGTTTTCGTGTAAAAAATTGAATTGCCCAATTAAATTTGGCAATGACTGCTGTGTCTTGGTTTCTTTCTGCTTAACGCGATCCAGACAGGACGATACGGACGCTAGGGTGTCCCTTATTTTTCAAAGTTGAGAAATTTTCGTGGGCAGTTTTTTCAAAACGTGATGCGGCCCGAAAAAATAAGAAATCGTCTTGAAAAAAAAATTTTAAAAAATTGTTAGGGGTCTCTCAAGCGCCCTAAAGGGTGCAGGTGTAAAAATGGATAAATTGGCAAAAGTATAGTCATTTCCCAGTGGAAATCCTAGAATTGCGGCCTTTTATCATGCACTCTCAAATGCATGACAGCGGTCGATCGTGTAAGAAAAATCTCTTCATAAAAATCTGAAAAAAATCTCCGACGTACAAAGTTTTCCATTTTTCCAGGATATTTTCAATCTATTATGAGCCCCTAGTTATTCTCCATGAAGACCCCAGAAACAGGGCACCGGACGAATCAGCCAATCAGAGACGGCTTGTAAAAGTATGGGGTGCAACTCAACCCGTAATTCAAATTGCAACTCTTGTTTTCCCTTTGAATGCTCAATGACGCATACAACTCGATAAACGACACAACTCGATTAAAAATGCAAAAAATAACTCCGTAGCCGAGAAAAACGCAGTTCAAAAGGCGCAACTTTAAAACGCCCTGGTATCGCGCCAAGCCGAATGGCGTCATTCATCATTATATTTGTGACGTCATTTATCATTACATTTATAATTTCATTTATCATTACATTTAAGACGTCATTTTATCACCTTTATCACCTTCATTCGAATGACGTCATCCGGCACCGAACAGAAACGAGAGAGTGGGTTTCCACGACTTCCATCAAATGTCTTTCAGAATTTCAAGAGAAATTCCTAAAATCAAACGACAAAAAATCGGGAAGACTAGGTGAACCAATCATTTTTCATAATAACGCACCTCGATGTAGGAAAACTGGACGTATTCCTGCCAAATGTAACTATGTGCATAAAGACATGAGCCCTGAGACCCATAAGAATATATGCATAACAGTGCTCACGTCATAATGCACATAGTTCCGTTCGACAGAAACACGTCCAACTCTCGAACGGTTCTCCAGTGAAAGTTCAATTTGCGAGTAGATGTTCTGTAACATCGAAATTTAGTTTGGATCCTCCGTCTAACAATGAGGAGCGAAGACACGGCACGCATTGTCCATTTCCTTTTTTGAAAGGAGCAGTAATGCATCGAGAACGAAGACATACATTAACTCGCCGAGTTTTCGATTTTCTGCCTTTGCCGCTCTTTTTTTCATCGCTACACCGAGCTATTCTACAAGTATGACCTTTCTTCTTGCTTAATAATGCGTCAACCCGTGTGCAAGACTTAACCGCAAAAACTAAATTCGAAAAAATCCAGGCTAACGTGACTAACTTTCAATGCTCGACTTCTGAGAAGGGTTTTTTCCTTGTCTTGTATTCCACGTATCAGACATGCTCATGAATTCTTTTTTCTTGCCAACTTCGTAAACGTCTGATAGAAAAATGTGATTTTTTGCCTTTTACGGTGCGCCTACACTACGGTAAATAGCATGACGCATCGCAAGAAAAAATTCTTCAGATTCTTGAAGTACAGGTTCACCGAGTCATTTAAGGTGATTATACGTGATCAATGACGAGGTTCACCACTGCGTTGCGGTTTGCGTCTTTGAGAAGGAATATTTGCCGTTACGCACAAGTTAATGCAAGAAACTGTACCAATATAAGTAGCAGAATTATTATTGAGTCGCGTGATATCAAATTTGTGAGGATTCATTGGAAATTTATATTAAAAACTACGATAATAGACGTTGCCCATTGACTCAATGTGTAAGAGAGAGACAGCGGTATAATGGCTCTTTCTCAAGCATTCACTCCTTGGGCCACGTCCATTATCGTAGTTATCAATATAAATTTTCAATGAATCTTCACAAATGCGTAATGTCACTCTACTCAGTATTAACGCCTCTACACGTTATGGATTGGTATCACTATTATCTTGTACATGACGATAAGTATTACTCCTTAAAGACGCAAAGCGCCCGGATCACATAAAATCACCTTAGGCCAAAAAGAAAAACATTCTGTCAAGCCCCCGGGGGAAAAAATTAAAATAGCTTTTTGGGGGGCTTAAATAGGCAAATTATCGGTAGTAAGTCTCGTTATATTATTCTAGGTGGCGGTAGCCACTCCGGCCCATCCTAAAAAACTCCCCCTAAAAATTTGACGACCTAAAAAAAGAAAAAAAAAAAAAAAAAAAAAAAAAAAAAAAAAAAAAAAAAAAAAAAAAAAAA